ATACCTCTCTCTCTCTCTCTCTCTCCCTCTCTCTCTCTCTCTCTCTCTCTCTGTCCCTCTCTCTCTCTCTCTCTCTCTCTCTCTCTCTCTCTCTTTGCAGTGCAAAAACAGCAGCTTTTTTTCCAGCCCAAAAGCCAGCAAACATTGACACAAGCCCTTGAACACCAAAAGAGAAACAGAATTTCATATTGTCCTTGAATCAAAATGTCATGATAACAAGGACGACTCAGAAGCAGGTTTTTTCCCTTCCTTTTCTGGTTCAGCATCTGGCACAAGGTTCATGTTCATGTTTATCTGGCTTGCTGGAAATAAGCCAAGAAGAGGACACAAAAGTGACAGGGTCAGGGACAGTGTGGCCTCAGGACCAGAGCCCTGGGTTGTGTGACTGGGCCATAGTGTCACTCAGATGCCAGTTAAGAGGAGGTTTTTCCCTTTTTTTTCAATGCTAGGAACAGGCCCAAACACACTAAACAGATTTTTTCAGTAGAATGACACATGGAGAGGACCAGTCTAGAATGCAATGTATTTTTAACATACAGTGAAAGCCAGCTGGCAGATCACCAGGCGAGTTTACCAAGAGTAGGATAAACCAGTTCAGGTCAGCATTCAAAGCCTTCTGCAGATGCCCCTAGCAGAGCTACATCAGAAAGTGTTTACTTGTCCTGCGTGGACAGTACTAGAAGAAAGAGACCTGGATAAGAGTCTAACTCATGGAGTGCTAAGAACAGATACTGGCTGTCCCAAAGCACTGGTGTAGTGGCAGTTTGGAGAAGACCTCTCCAGATTTTGTGGGCTTATTGAAAGGGTAGCTGTTAGGACGTGCCTAGCAGCTGTAGCTTTAACCAAGGCTCCGCTAGTAGTCTCATTGGCTTCTAGAAGCCCCTGAAGAGGAATGTGAAGCTCTTGACTACTTCCAAAAGGAGGAAACACTACTTGCTGGCAACTGCAGGTCAGAAGATGACTTGCTGGGAAGATGGAGAGGTCATCTGCAAGGCTACTTGGTTTATATGTCTTTGTCTTCAAGTGGCAGGGGTAGGTATACAGACCAAACAACAGTCACCATCAGTGTCAGCTTCCCAGCTCTGCCCTGTGTGGTGCCGCCAGGCAATTTAGCAGGGTGGGATGAGCTTGGCTTGCTGTAGGGGCACTCAGGTGAGCCTACACCTGCAGAGATCCCCGTCTACCCTCAGAACTGGGAGGGGTCCTTGGCACAGCTCACAGACTTAATCTTATATAATAAGCCTGGACTAGGGTCTTGGCACAAGAGTTTTCAAAAGTATTGTGTTTGCTTTGGAGGTGGCATCCAGATGCTGCAGCCATGGCAGCAGGGTGGGGTCTGGGCACTCTAGTGTAGCAGCATCTCTACTAACTACCATTAGGCAAAATTTTCAGGTGGGTCTATCTCAGTGAGACTTGCACATTGGAGAGAAAAGCCAACTGCTAGGCCAGCCGCTGTTTGTTTTTGTCATTGAAGAGAGAGTGTACACACATGCACACTCCTCACTTAAATTGTTTCAGAAAAAGTTAATGTTTCTGTAAAAAGAAAGCTGTGTTATTAGGCATTCCACATTAACACCAAAGTGATCGCTTGGATTTTCAGTAGTTTCACTCATCCCCAGGATTCAGTAGCTACATCAAAGTTTCCATAACTTATAGCCTAGAGTTCACTGGCTGGGCTGGTTTTGCAGCATTGTTGAGCCAGGCATTTGATGGCCTGGATTGAGAAACCCACTCAAGGACCATTCAGAGACTACACACCAGAGCAATCTGATCAATAGTTGTGGGACCACAAAAAAGAGGCTTTTTCTCTCACTGCAACATAGTATCTTTCAGGTTCTCATGCAGGATGGTGTCCTTCACAGCACAGAACACGAAGCAGATGTTCTCGGTGTCTATAGCGGTTGTGAAGTGGTGGAACAGCGACTTGCTGTGGTTTCGCCTCTTTCTATCAAACACTGGACCAGGTAGCACTGGACCTCTCAAAGCCTGTGCTGGTCACCCCTGAAATCTGGGAAGTGCTTCTTGATGCTGACAGTTTTCACCTTCTCCACCAGAAGGTCCATCTTATTGAGGAACAGAATTATGGAGACGTTGAAGAAGAGCTTGTTGTTGACTATGGTCTCAAAGATGTTCATGGACTCC